CCTTCCAGTCGACAAGGCACATGTACCTCATTGGCCAGAAGGAAGACCTTCCAGTAGACAAGGTTGTGCCTTGTCAGCCCGGCCTCAAGACGGTACAGTCTCAAGGCCGGGTCCCTCTGACGGGTATCCTTGGAGATACCCAGATACCCTCCAGGATTCAGAGCAGAATGAGACATCCACACCCAAATCTGAATCCTCTGGAAGGTATCTGTTGGGCCTGGCGGGTATCTGCCAGCGGATAACGGGTATCCACAACAGATACCCTGAGGCCATCTCTAAAAGAAACTATGGATGAAGGAAAATGTGATGTGTGAATACTGTCTCAGGTTCTGGCTAGGTAGTGTTGAGATGAACACAGGTGACTGGAGAAAATAGTGCTGGAGAGTATAATTCAATAATCCGAGAAAAAGAAGAAAAGATAGAAAAGATTAGAAAGACTAATCTGGAGACAATAGTGTTGGAAAGGATGAGGAAAAAGGACTCCTTCCCAGCACTGTTGACTCCAGTCTAAGGACTAAGGAAAACAAGATGAATTTCACAGATTGTGACATGTGAGAAATGAAATAGAGAAGAAGCACACTAAAAGCTGTAACTATGGAAGTAAATAGACAACACAACATAGGTATCTCAACAGGTAGAATCCAGGATGCTGGGGAATTTAAGTTTTTTTTTTTGGGGGGTGGGGTCTCCCAATTTTTCATTTGATACACTAAACTACACTTAAATAATATTTTTTGCTAGTGTAGCTGGCCCACCATTCCTTGTCTGTATGCTGGATTCCAGTTTTCACATGTCCTGTTAACCAACATGAGGAATTAGCTTGCTTCAGCTTTCTTGTCCTACATCAAAGGCTTGGATAGAAATATGAATAATCAGTTTGATTGAACTGCATCAAAGTCCCGGAAAGATTGAGCAAAGATATGAGATGTCCTGGCTTGCTCTCTTCACCAATACCCCCATAGTCCAGTTGGTAATTACTTTAGTCTTTCAGAAATCTTTCACCTCACCATACAGCACCAATTCACTGGTTCAAACCCCATCATAATCCAGTTTGACTTGCACAACATTGGTCATGATGTGTTTCATTGGGCTGATTGTCCTTGCAGCACTTCAACTACTGTTTGATGTATCAGCAACTTGGCATGATACTAATTGCAACTCTGAAGCCATCCTCTGGCACATCAACTCTATCACTCAAATTTCAAAAAGTAAGCTTACGCTGCACTAGCTGTAATAAGCAGAAGTATGGAATTCGAGCTTCCTCCTTGTGAAATACCTCAGTTCCAGTGCTTTCCAAACCCATATACAACCTACCAGATTTGCACATGCTACAGGTGTGGTATTGAAATTCCAAATGGATACCATGTGCTGGCCTGTGGGGCCTGCAACTATATCTACATGAATACTAAATACTAGCTACCAAAGATCAAATGTGGATGTGGAGCTTCTCCTCCCCAACAGTCTTTTACTGACCAAACTCATACAGCCAACCTGCCATAAAGGCAACTACAGTCAAAATTATGCCTGCTGGAAAACTTCAATCCTTGTCTCAGAATCATTTCCAAAAAAAAAGCCAGTCAATCCAGAGATATAATCAATAAGAGAAACTTGAAAAAGAAAATATATAAATAAAAAAAACAGAAAAAAAATGAAAAGGACAAAGAAGAAAAGTGTTAGAAAAAAAGGAGAAAAAAGAAGGAAAAAAGAAAAATGAAGAAACAATAGAATAAACAAAAGAAGGAGAAAAGTAGAAAAATGAAGAAAATAAAAGAAAAATGAAGAAACAATACAAACAAAAGAAGGAGAAAAGTAGAAAAAAAAGAAGAAAAAAGAAGAAACAAATGAAGAAACAAAAGAATAAAGAACAGAAGAAACAAAAGAAGAAACCAAAGAAACACAAAAATCAAACCACTCAAAAAAACAGAAATGAAATGAAACCTGCCCAGAAATAAAAATTCCTAGTAAATTCCAATCTTCTGCTGCCTTCAGAAGAGAAAAGAAACACAAAAGATCTCCTCCTTTGAAAAAAATAAAAAAAAGAGTGTTGTGTTTAGCCACAGCAACATTTTGAGCAATCCCTCAGTGTTCAATTTTCCTCATTCTGCCTCTCTCTGCCCTGCATCATTTTCTAGTCATCAAAAATCGGACGATTCCATATTTATCAAGTAGCTTGTTTTTGGTTGTTTTCAAGCCCCTTCTGAGTCAAATATGAACCCTAAGTGATCAGCTATTCTTAACCACTCATGTCTCTATGATAAATTCTTCTCTTTACTGATTTTCTGATTGATTTAATTAAAACTGATTACTTAGAATTGACAACTCTAACTATTTGTGGATTATAACATGCTTTATTTTTATTAACTCATCCGGCTTGTCTAAAAAAGACTGAGAAGCCTTGACCGGTTTGTTTCTTCCTCTCATTTTTTATTCAATATGTCTTTTCTATTCATTTATCACAAACCACTTTTTGATTGCTTGTACGTAGTCTATTTAAAACATGACTGGATGCTAGTGAATAAAAAATATTGGTTCTTACACTCATTTTCCACAAGCCCTTCTCAAAAAAGGGTCCTTTCCTTTTTTGGCCCTCAACCTCTTACATGCTTGAGCTCAGGATTTCAACACTCAGCATTGAAAAATTGGTCTGACAGCCCAAACACAAATTATTCTGGTGATGGGGACACCCACTACAAACATTTTTTAAGTGCTGATTGATTTGACATTGCACATTATATTAATACTAGTATGAGCTAAGCCCACAATGAGGCTGTAATTACAATGTGTGTGAACCTTTGCATGCATGGATAAGGTTGATATTTTTAAAAAATATTAAGATCTGTTGACAGTGGATTGTACCTTC